CAGCGCCCCACTCTTAAGGAATACATTACGGCGACACTAGCAACTTTGTTACTTAGGTTGGAATAAATGAGACCCTCCCTAAATGAAAAAAAATTCACATATAGGGTTTGGCACTAGTGGTAAGGCGCGACCATTGCCCCCGGTCGATCTCGGGATCGATACCCATTAGGGTCAAAGTCCTTCCGATGGTGGAAGGCATTGCGCCCCTAGTTGATGGACGGTGGTGACCTGAGATAATGATAACCTGATAGCCGACCAGGAACGGAGTTGAGCCGCTGTCGACCCGGCAGATTCCGTTGGATGCTGGTGGTGGGTGCGGAACCTGAGCAATCCACTGAGAAGTGACAAGGGTGACTGGATGAGGGTGCCCCGAAATACCGGGGAAGGCAGGATTTCGCAGGGTAGCTGCCACGGGCGAAGATACACCCCCCTGTTTCACACATCATATATAGACAGAGGTAGCTGCACGGATGAGCAGGCCTGGTTACACATGTGATGGTGATGTGCACAAGCATGTCCTTAAGGTCACTGTCATGGGATGATGTGCACAACGGTGTGCATGTGCAGGGTGGCAGTTGACATGTCATTGAACATTGATGAATCACAGGGAGACTGAATAGTTGTAGTAATGATGCTGCAGTTGGGAGATGAACATCTAGACTGCTGTTTAGCCTGAGTGGCAGGCAGTGTTGATTTCTAGATAGTTAACATGACTGGGTGGCAGGGGTGATAGATGTGCACATATGGCCTAGAAGGGTTAGATTGCTGTAACTACATGTTTACCTTGAGATTAAGGCAGCCACTCTGATCACCAGCTTGACTGACCATTAACCCAAGTGGCCGGTAACCCAACAGACAGGTAACCCAACTGACCATTAACCCAACTGACAGGTTAATGTGTCTTTAACGATTCGGTTCGGTTAATGAACCCGGTAGTGTTCAAAATGGTCGGTAACCGAAGTGTTTATGCCATAGGGCATAGGGAAAGGCATGTTCAATGCCCTACCAACTCATAGGGGGTCTAACAGCGGCTAACAGGCGTGCCTGTTAGGAAATGTTAGCCTAACAGATTCTCTAACAGTGATGGGGCTGTCAGACGATGTTTGGGCTGGCGGCGGGTGGATCTGGCTGTTAACAACCATGTTGGAGAAGTAGAACAGGAATTGGTGCTGTTAGCCGTTGTTAAGGCTTGTCAGATGTTTTCAGACTGTATTTTAGCTCTGTCTCACGGTGTTGATGGATAATCTCGTTTATAACAAACATTCTTGAACGGTTTGTAACGAAATGTCCTGCCTTTTGCCTATTATTTGGCAAACCATACGTTTCAAGCAACATCATCAATCATGCATATTACCTCGCTTATTAGCAAGGCACTAATTGACTGGATGAAAATCCAGGCTGCTGTTCCAAAAGCACTACTGCTGCAGTGAATTTAGGCATGAAACGAATGGCACTACTTACATGGTGTAAGGTATCCTTGTGCTTCACAGTTTGAAAGCAGTTCAACGCCAATATCTACTTACAGCCACCAGCAGGCCCACAAGGTTGAATAT